GCAATGATTTATATTCTGGATTAAGGTTGTAAGTGGTGTTCCCCAAGGTTCAGTTTTGGGACCTTTTTTTTGTTAATAAATTATATAATATTGGGATTAAAAGTATTGTTTCCATGTTGCAGAGGTTAGAAAACTACATAAAGTTAAAGTATATGTAAATCCTAACTACTTTTATTAGCTCCCTTTTAAATGGTAAATATACATCGGAAACATTTTGTAATATCTGTCCGCTAAGTGCAAAAAATACCTGTTGATTCTGCCAGAAACCTAGTAAGCTGATGTCCTCCTGTGCTGCGCTCTTATCAGTTACATTGTTTCCAGCTTTCTCTGTGGACTAGGTCAAGACTAGGTGTAATCCTAGGACAAGAAGTGTGTCACTGGCAGGATCATCGGGTATATATAAGGGAAAACATCCTCAAAAGAAAAACTATTCCACCATATTTAAGGACTGGAGGGCTTCAATATATTACATTCTTGTAAGAAGGTTTAGATAAGCTTTAGCAAAGGAAATTCTGAACCCAGAATACCCAGTGGCACAAAGTTTTAATGTTCATGTACTCTATTGAAATCCTTTAAAATGTGTACTCCAACTATAACTGAAAAGTCATACAGGGAACACAGCCTACCTGTTCAGTAGTATATTATTTAATCCAGACATTGCTGAACTGCAAAGTTAAAGGAGAACTATGAGGTAACTGATTTCCACTCATCCTCATAGTTAGAGCCGGCCTGTGACAAAGAAACTGTTGGCTCTATCGATCGGGAAGTGAGCGAACACATACCGTTGCTCACTCACTTTCCGATCATCTCCCTGCAGCGAACGGTGATTGTTAGTCACCGCTCCCCGCAGGGATTCACCCCTCCCCTCTCTGTTCCTCCAGTGTTGAATGGAGGAACGGAGGGGGCGGGCACAGCTGGCTCTGCTTCTAGATAGATAGATAGATAGATAGATAGATAGATAGATAGATAGATAGAGACAGCTGTCCCTCATGCAGCTTGGTTGATCCAGACAGTATTGTTGGCTACTGTGGGCTACTGAGCTATGTGTCATGGGAGGAGATTTTTATATGTCCTCTCATGTCCCTAAAGAGAACTATGGGGAAAAACGCTTACTCTTTTAATCCCAATCTTTTTTGTTTTGTTTGGCAGAGAGTCTGCTTGTGTGGCAGAGAGTCTGTTCTCAAACACACTAATTCTGTATCTTGCATGCAGAAATTCAAATGGAAAAAAATACCAGCACCAAAACATTTTGCACAACCACTGATTCTAAATTGCCTATGAATCTTAATTGTCATTGAGGACAAAGAATGTAACAAGCCATAACCCCAGGAAGTGCACTCCCAGTGAACCAGTAAGGTGGTGTCTGGATTTTAGCTGCAGTGAATAACAGAGAACCTGCTTGCTAGATAGTATTGATATCGTTGATGGGTTTCTCATGTTGCTTAGAATTGCTCTTTAACGTGAAAGCTAGATATTAAGACCTGCACATCCTGCATGTGTTTAGAATTTCCCAGCACTGTGTAAAACTTTCATATGAACGATTCAATTTGCTTTAATATTTGAAATGACCACCATCGTCAGGTTTCTGTGTGTACTGTTCCAGGAAATCGGACAGCTGGTCCACATAATGCTGATCAAATGCTGTTGAATGTGATGTGAATTTATTTTCTCTTAAAAGGAACTTCATTTGACTTTTTTTAATGGCGGTGATGCTGTCATGCTCTTGTTCCAGTAATACTCTAGTGCCCCACTTTGCCTTTTCTGCTCACTATTCCCACATTCTTTTTGCCTATAAAATTATAACCAGGGAAAGGGAGCTGTAGGGGAACTAGAACTGGGAGTGCGATTTATAAGGTTTATAAAGGAAATTGGCAGGCTGACAAAAAGAAAACAAAACAGAAAAAGAAAAGGTTTGGGGTGAACAATAAGGGCAGATCAAACACAAACATGGCTCATAGATACAAAAGTCAATTATATATGTAAACAATTTTAACAAGCAGTAAATATATACAAGCTTTTTACTACTCTTTTATTAGTATCCTGCCTGGTCTATTTACAGTTTGTACTTTGTCATACAATTCCACATTCTATCTGTGCTTAATTTTTATGCATACAATGTTTATATTCCCCCCACCAATTTCGCTTAACTGGCTATTATAAAGTACAGCCCTTGGTCCTGGGTTTTGAATTGAGAGGTCACCTGAGGTCCAGTAGGCCTTCTCTTGGTAGCTACCTGACTTCATGCTGGTAACAGTGCTGACTCCCTCCGTGTGAAAAACAGTATCATCTCAGTAGCTCTGTAGATAAATTGTATCTAAAGCCAAAACTTTTTATTTTGGCTAGAGTAGGAAATAGTTAAAAACTCTGTCAAGATTCATTTTGCATGTGCACAGTTGGAATTGTATATGTATTCCATCTGTGGCACATTCAAGAGATTTCCCTTCACTTTGTTTCCTCTAGACACAACAAGAAATGAGAGGAAATATCTCCAAAGGGAGGCAAATCACATCTTACACAGTTTTCACCAGAACCACTATGCCCATTGGAAGATTTCCCCTTTATTCCTGTTCTGGTGCAACTCAATTTTTTTGATTTTCCATCACTTTCATTCCCGGTGACACTGGACAAATCGCATGCGTGAATCTGCCTAATGGGACATAGAGAGCAACTAATCCTGAGAGGGATTCAAACCCCTCACTACTCTATTCAAAAATTAAATAAAAAGTTTTGGCTTTAGATGCCCTTCAAGTGGAGTGTAAACAACTACAAGGTTATGTGTTTGATACAATAATGGTAACATATTATTATTACCCATGGTCCATGTACACAAATGTTGTTTACATTTTAAAGGTTGTAAAGCGGCCATCTCTCCAAGCTCGCTCCCATGATGGACTACAATCTCACCTTTAGTTTACTAATTTGTATTGAGATTGTAGTCCATTATATGAGTGAGCTTGGGACAGTGGCTACTTTACAACAAGCACAGGGACCATGGGGAACATAAGTAGCCACCCTCTAGAAGGAAATACAGTGTCAGCACCAATTCAAAGATGATGATTTGAGGATCTACAGCCAAGTGATACACAAATGAGATACATTTTTGTTAATAGGGTACTCAAATGCATTTTTAGGATTTATCTCAAGAGATTAGTGTTATTTTAAAGTTTTGTATTCTTGCCTATGCCCAATACTGACTGATTCCTTTTAAAGAGAACACTCTAGCTGCTGGAACCTCTCTACTAGACTCCAAACAAATAGAAAAAAAAACAGTTGGTGATTTAATCTGACTGTAACTTCCCAGTATTACATTATCAGTTTCAGTAAATCGGTCCTTTAAACATATTTGTTCAGATGATAACATTGCTTCAGTTATAACATTACAATGTCCAGAAAATTGAAAGGATGTCTTTGCTATATCACTGGAAAAAAAATATTTCCTGACATTGGCATATAACCTTTCCTGTAAAAAAAATGAAATGTCAAAAATGTTTTTCAAAATCATCACATTTAATATTTTACTGATGGATTAAAACCCTATTAAATAGTTTCCATCCAGTCTATAACCAACCTTGTTTAGTATATTTTCTGCATCTATCTAGAAAAGCCACCTGTATCAATTGCTCTTATAATGACACCACAAAATAGGTTTCCATTATTTTCTTTCATGGGTGGATTCAACAAATGGTTTATTTATGAAAAATTCTGCTTGGTGTAAAACACATAAGGAGAAAACCGAGAGTAAATCATTTTAGAATCTGGACTCTTTGTGCAAGCTTGTACTGCCAGAAAGAAAAACTTGCTACACCAGTGTGTGCTTTACCTACAGTCCTGACATCTATAAAAGGCTTCATGTGCATTCCATTATGGTTTCAATTAGCAGTGGTATAAAGAAGTAATAACTAATGTTGGGTAAATCCTTCACTGAATTTGCACTTGGCAGGAGAAACTCTTATCCTTGTCATGTACTTCCGACCAATTAAACATGCAGGATCGATATTTCAAGGCTAATAGATGACAATAATTAGAAGTGCTGGAATGCTCTGGACAAATGTGATAGACAGTAACTCACACTCTTTGCATAGATAAAAATATTTGAAATATGTACAAAGAGATTACCAGGTCAACACAACTAGTAACAATAACAGATGTTGCATTTGAATTCTAACCTTTTGAGCCCAAGGCTTTTCCTCCCTATAACCCCTTAAGTGTCCCAAAGTGTTCAATGGAGGTGTCTCAGTTGAAAAGCTTAGGGCTTATTAACACCTATTGCACTGGGGTATTGTGTTTACAAAAACACACTTTACAGTATCTCACAGCAATACGAGGTGTATATGCGTTGTCATTTATTTTATATTGCACCGTAACATACATACAAACACCCATTTCACTGTGCACCACAGTGCACCACAATACACAATGCGCATTGCTGTGCACTTTGGTGAAACGATGATGCAAGAGTGGTTTTCTCTGCATTGAGGCCCATTGCAAACGAATGAAGGCAACATGCATCTATACACAAAAAGTGCATGGCAGGGCATGCATTACTGCAATGCCTTATGGTGTTAAAAGGCTGTCGTGGCTGCTCTTATACTTATGCCCATTGCATATGTGAGCAACAGTGCATTGCCATATATTCTGAATGGCACCCTGATGGGCATATACAGTGCAAACAAGGACACCTGCCCTTCAGCACATCACAATGCACAGATATGAATGCACTTTGAAAAGAAGGGCATGTATGATTTTTCATATGTTATGGCTCATTAAAGGCCTGCTTGGAAGGTAACTCAATGCACAATAACTCAAAAAAGTGCATTAATGCATTACATTCATTTATATGTGCATACATATTAAATACTTGATAATGCAAACATAATACCTAGTACTAAATGTTCATACAAATGCAAATTGAGGTTCACAGACAGGTCCCATGTACAGTAGACTGGGTCTATGGTGAAGAGGTAGAACTAATATTTCTTTTTTTTTTTTTTTTCTTATAGACAGAACTGTCTGAGATACAGGAGCAGCTCCACCTCCAGCTGCTTGATGTGGATGACGAAGTGGAGAAATGGCATAAGGAGAAAGATCGCATAAGGGTAAGAGACTCACAATCTCCATCATCATCGTCATATGACAAATATCTAGCTGGGATGACCTTGTTGGATCTCTTAGATGTTCTCACTGAGGTTGCAGGTGTTTCAACTTCTTTATTCTTAGTGGATAAATCACTGACACCAAGTTCAATTTCAGTGATGTTCTGTTCCTTTTTCCTGTTTACTGGTAGGGCTTCCTGCTCTTATTTTCATTCATACAGTGCTGACTCTGTCACTTTATGTGGCTTTTGACACATATGCGTTTCATTAATAATTAGTTTACACTTCTGCTGATTTGTACCTTATTGGTGTCTGGGTGCAGAATTATCTACCCCTATTGAGGCTCACTGTAGCCAACAAATATAATTTCCTTAGCACAAGGTTCTCATTTTGTGTTTTCTTTAGGAACACATACATATGCTTTGCTTGCAAAAGATTTGAATGTGTTTCTGGTCAAGCTTCTTTCCATTCCATAGCTCATATGGGGGTTTTTTCTGCTACTTTTGAGCAACTTGGAGATAGCAGGTTGTCATAATTGCCTTTACCCACTATGATGTTGGAATATCTGCATCATGCTTCTGCCACTCTCACTTAAAGTATGGTTTATTCTCTCTGCAACACCATTTTGTTCTAGATTGCATGGTACAGTAGTCTGAACATAATTCCATGCTTCCTCAGTATAGATTGTGCTTTAATGTGCCATTATCTGTTCTGAGTATTTTAGGTATTGTGCCATTTTTGCTGCTTACTTGGGCAAGACATCATTTAAGTTTATGTGAAACTTCATCTTTCCTGTGTAACAAGTCCTGAGTAGTTATCGATGAATTTGAGCAAATACCTTTTCTTTCTTTGAGTCAGAACTTTCATAGAACCTGCTAGATCTGAGTGAATTAAGTCCAGGGGCCTCAGGCCTCTGCTGTTGCTACTTTTAGGAACAAACTTACTTGAATTCATGGGCCATTTTATATGTCACTGGCATGCTGATCTTTACCTAGCTTCTTTATAGTTTCAGGATTCCTGTGTTCAAGATGACATTGCGAGGTGTGAATACTGCTCAAATGTTTTCCTCTTTGACAGTGTTAACCCCTTCACTGCACTTCAGCTGATACAGTTCATCTGTGATATTTAATTTAGCAAGTATGTGGCCATCTAGTTTAATAATACAGATGTTACTTCTACTTATGTCACTACATATCCTTGCTTTGTGAGGGGCTTCTTTACTGGCAATAGGTTATTTTCAAGAATAGGAACATGGACTACATCTTTGATGGGTATCTTTCTAGGTGAGTGTGTGAGATAGAGGGCAGTGTATATAACCTTCCCCCATTCCTCCATATACTGTCTATTAGCTATTGTAATTATTTCTGTGTTACTTTGAGTGAAAGAATGTTTATTATTGGTTATATGACTTGAAGTTCTAAATCAACGCACTAGGTGAAAAGTTACGTGGCACTCCCTTTGGCATTAAAGGCACACTCAAAATTCGAAGTGTCTAGTTCTTCTTTAACACTTGTGGCCTTTTGTTGATTAACTTGTCCCTTTTGTCGATTGATTCTAGGTTTTCAAATTCTTTAGGTGACCTATCTTTTTGAACTCAAAATATTCACATGCTGTAGGTTACTATAATTGCGGTTGTTGGTTGGTGCAGGTTCTGCTGTAGGAGCATTTCACGGTGTAGGTTGTCTGTTTTTTTCTTTTATTCATCCACAAATTTGTCTTTAACATATTCCGGGGTAAACTCATCATCTGGGCAAACATTAAGCGCTGCAAAAATGTTTCATAGCTTTCTGGGAGGCCACTGATTAGCTGTGCTGCTGTAAGAAAGTATTTTATTACTTCTCCTATAGCTTGCAAGCATTCCACAATTCCTAAGTTACATCATATTTAGTCCCGCATGTGCCGACCATTGATCAGCTTAGCATGGTGTAGCTTTCTAATTACGTACCGTTTTTTGCTAAGATTTGCACTCTTGTTTACTTTCTGCTGCTCCTCTCACATTTCTTTTGCAGTTTTACACTTATATATGTGCACTATTTGATCATCATATATGCTCAGGTATATATTACTTTGAGCTTTTTGGCTTTTCTCTGTCTACTCACCTGTAGGTGGGGTTGGTCTGGGCTCTAGTATACACTTCCATGTAACAGCAACATCTTTATTTTAAACTTCCAGGACTGGTAGTTCTGGTTTGGCAGATTCGCAACTGAAAACTTTGATAAAACAATATCAATAGCCATCAATCATATAAAGTATGCTTTCTGACCTTTCTTTTTCAGAGAGGGTTTTGCTGTAACTCTGAACTGCATCTGCAGCGATGTTTGTTTAGTACTTTGGCAGTAGCTGGGCCCATAACCTGCTGCAGTTATGACTCTTACCAGTCAGATGGTGCTGGACACATGACTGAGCCCTACTTGTTTTATTGGAAACAACAGAAACACATAGACAAGAAATTACATGACAACCACATCATTGTTCTTTCTAGCTCCACTAGAAAAAACAATACATTAAGCATAATACAGTCACAACACTTCTACCTAGTAGCAAACGTTCTAATCATCATACAATATATGAGAATGGTTTTTGCACCTATAGCTGTATAAAAAGCATGCTAACATTGTTACTTTTACCTTTTTACTGCTGAAAATAACAATTGTTATGGCAAATATGAATTGTTACAGCTTAGTGACTCTAGCCAACTGATGACAGTACAGTTTTGAAGAAATATTGATATTTCACCATGTCAGCCAAAATACCTTTTACTTCTCTTTCAAAAAGTACCAGTCACCTGCTAATACTCCAGAAAAGCTCTGTAGTACATATTAGTGGATACCCTAATTTGACTTTACAGACAACTTGCATTTGTTAGGCGGGCCATACATCTATCAATTTTTTTCGTTCAACCTGTGGGCTGAACGAAAAGAATTAACGCAATTCCTCCATCAACACAAACAGTGTGTCAATCGAGGAATCACTGCTGTTTGCATTGTATTCTGACAGGTGCTGTCGGCACATGTCGGAATCCCCTATACCCGATCTAAGCGGGCAGCTCATTGCCTGCCAGCTCTGATCGAACTAAGATTCTCTAGCCGGCTCCTTTATTCAGCTGATGGAGGAATGCTGGCTTAAATGGAGCCGACAGCCCCATACACTGGCCGAATTTTGGCCAGTTCATTAAAAAACCGGCTGGAATGAGGCCAGTATATGGGCACCTTTTAGAAGGAGCTTAACAGTGGCAGAGCCTCTGTCTCTGATTATAGGTTCCCTTGATCCAGAATATTGCTGATTTATTAATGCAAAAAGTAATTATGATGCCCTAAGTTCAGTAATTCATAACAAGTTTACTATTAGTTTTTGCGCCTAAGACATCACCTTTGTACTTTACACTGCTACATTAAATAGGCCTGCGCAAATCAAACAAAATAGGGGGGAAAAAACAACAGTTGGATTTAACTGGTTGCCCCATATAATAACTGATCCAAGCTAATTGTAAAATATTTTTTATTCAGAATTTCACAGCCAACCAGAAATCGGCCGTGGACCACAGCTTCAAGGATTTGATAAAAGAATTGCAGAGACAGCAAGAGGATGTGAAAGCCAATTTAGAGCTGAAAGAACGCACAGCTGTTGACCTCATTGAGCAAATTGTAAATGACTTGAAGGTGAAAAAGGAGCAACTTCAAGACAAGCAACATGATGGAGATAAACTGTTACATACTACTGATGCAGTACTCTTCTTACAGGTAAGTTAATTATTAAATAGTTACATACTTAGTTAAAGTAAACCTTTCCCTGCGCATGTAAAGAAAGTAGCACATTTATAAATATCGCTTTAAGTTTTGACGTTTTGTTAGAAGTCAGTAGCCCAGCTTCTTTCTCCTTCTCTAACCACTCCAACTTGCCACTGAGAGCAAGGATGCGTAGCTATCACAGCAAGAGCAAAGGTGTCTTCATGTGCAGGCTCAGCCTGGCTTCACCTTCTCTGTACTGTACAATATGGCAGCATTCAATAGGGGAATAAATCGGTCACTAGGGACAGACTGGTGCAGAGTGTTTTTGTTGACAGATTATGTACCAGTTAATTGTTTCTAAGCTGAGTAGCTTGCATTTGGCAGCAGCTTCTGTGAACATTGGCAAAGGAAAGGGTTGTTTTAATATGGTTGAAAAAAAGACTTGTGTCTATCAAGTTCAACCTTGCACCACTCCTTCTGCTTTGTTCTAAAAGAAAGTAAAACAAAAGCCCATGGCCAAATGTTGCAAAAAGAAGCAAAACTATTTTTTTTCTGATCCTTCCACTCCCAAGGGCAAGTCTGACGAATCTCCTGGATTAGCCTTTAGTGATTATAACTTGGATACCATTAGTTGCAAGTCAATCTTGCATTGCGCTTCAAATTTATATTATTGTTTTTGCCCTGTGGTTAAGCATTTGTTAAGCATTTCGCATCTCAACCAATCTTACTGTAAAGAATTCATTCTGAAACAGTTAGTAAAATTTACTTTTCTCCATTTGCAACAGATGTTCCTTTGTCCTTGTGATATCAAGCATATCTAAGCCCCTAAATACAAAAATCATTAAATGGTAGCTTACCTCCATTGTGTTCATTCACTTATTCAAATAAAAACCATTTCACAGGATAAGCTGCCACATCACTGTGCGGGGACACACTGGGGGCTTCAGCTGCCATTGTGATGTGCTGGCTTCTGGTGCGTCTCTTTGCCTTTAAGGAGGAATGGGCTACCTCCTGGGAAACCTGCACCCAATTCTTCCTTCGCTATATATGCTCCAAGATAGAGGCTCTCATAGATTAGAGTTAGGACCACACTACACAGAGGGGCCCTGACGAGGCAATGTGGCCTCCATATATTTTGCAACAGTTGTGCCACTAAAACCTCTGTTTTTAACCCTAAAAGTTAAACAGTGTATTTTTTTTGTGCACCCTACTTTAAAAGATAGTTATACATTGATGAAGACTGTGCAATGAGACACAAAACTAATAAAGTAAAAACATTTATATATGCAGGGCAACCACAGTTTTGGGTGGCTGGATTAGTTTTGAAGTAGCCATTGCAGGAGTGACAGCTGACTGGACAGCAAACAAAATGACAGCAAATTGGAAATGGGGCAGATGAAAATGTGAAGCTGTAATTCCAGTGGACTACGAAAGGTCCATTGTATAGAGGACTTGGGGATGTCTAATTTTCATCAGAACTTCTGGCAAGGATGGAACAGAGTTTCCTGCCACGGCCAGGATAAAATCCTTGGGTTAGGTTTATTGACAGCACCGGAAAAACTTGCAGCAACCACGGATATAGAATGATAGGGGTGACAACAAAGATAGGTGTGAAGGAGTGATCTGGTGAACAGACTGAAGTACAAAGGCAGCATACTGGGTGGAAGTAGTATAGCAATCAGACTCAACTGAGTGGTGAACACATGATCAAGCAAAACCAGGGTATTGGGTGATCCATCACAGAATACAAGACAAAAGATGGAAGGCAAAATAACAGCAAGATACAAATACAGTGTAAGAAGGTAGCAAAATACAAGGGAACTATTATATTTTGGGAGACACATGTTAAAGCAGGTCAAAATGTCAGAGACAGGAAGCAGATAAATAGTAAAGGGAACCCAAGGGAGGAGAAAGATAGTACAGCAATCTGTCCCCAGGTGCTATTCATTCGATCTGTGCCGTTTTTCTATGAGCCACAAATCAAAGATGTCATTTTTAAATGTTATGCTCTGATTGAATATTTTTGCAGGAATTTCAAGTGGTAATAAGAAATGCTCCTCCAATACCTCCACTACCAACCTATACAGTGTCTATGGAGGGAGAAAGGCTGACTCAGACTATGGGAGCAATAAAAGAAGAATTGCTGACAGTCTGCAAAAAGAATGTAGAGAAATACTGCAAAATGGAGGCTAATAAAAATCTTGTTGAAAGGAATGGTAAGTCATTCTCTGTGTTGTGAAACAGTTTCACAACATTCATTTACCTTTTCTAGTCAGTAGGCACTGCAATCAAATCACATGGCTGCCACCTACTCTGGGGCAGTTTTCTACTTTGTTTTGAATCAGTTGCTATTTTATCTTCATCTGTTCAAAACACACATAGGTGACGGAGTTAGAAAGGAGATGCACCCACTCCTTCTACAACTCATATACTCCCAGGTTGGACAGACGGTGTCAGAAAGTGAGCAGCCAGTGCTGGGCTTTCTTACTAGAAAATCCAGTGCTCTATGAACACACTGTATAATGCAATCACCTTGTAGGCATTGTTTTATAAAATTAGTATTTTATGCATGTATTAAAACAGCATATAAATGTCTATAAACGTATTTCTTACTGCTTGTTGTGTCTACAGGACTAAAAAATAAATAAGGTAATTGTCCTCAGTGGAACACGGACAGAAAACCCCCCATAAATATGTCAGTGGTCAATAGCACAAAAAAGTTTTAGCTTTAGTTGAACTAGGAGAAAGCTTCCACTTGATTTGCCATGTTAAAGAAGTGACAGCTGCACTTTGATAAGTCACTATGGGCAACAGATTATTTTCTTTCATGATACATGAATTACGAAGTGAAGGGACAATTATCCTTGTCTACTTCTGCAAAATTCTAGTAGAGTTTGCTTTTGTTGTAAGCTGCTGATGACGGGACTTCAACCAGTCACACTGATGCAGTAGACATGGCAATTGAATCATTCCCCAATATTCTTCCTTCAAACAAAGTGTACACAAACAATACATTGTGGGGTCATGCAGTTATCTTACCAGAATGTAGATTGGTTTACTAAAACATTATCAACACAACACTACCATTCAGAGGGAGAACAATTTCATGGACACCAGTCATGAGTAGAAAAGATGGGCTGCTGTTGCTGACCTTATTCTTAAAATGGTTTTATTGAAACTTCTTTAATGCTGGCGTTCTGGCTTCACTGCTTTGGGAATTCTTTTTTTTTTGGCTTTCTTTGCTGCATATTTTTATCCAAGTCACTGACTAAAAGGAAGCCAGAGACAACCAGGCAATTGGCATATTCCTAATTATGTCAGCCAATGTATTTCTGATGACAAGTGTCCTCTGCATGCTAGATGAGAACATCTGTTGATGTGATAAGTTTATGTCTGAGTTAAGCTGCCTATGCACCTATAGATTATTTGCAGATTTTCTATGGTCAGATGGAAAAAGTGCAACAGATTCCTCCATCTACGCTAAACTGTGTGTATGGAGGAATCTCCCACTGGGCCAAGCTTCAGTATCTTGCTCGTTGGCCCCGCTGGCTGTCATAATACTTGAACAATCTGATTGGATGCAGCCTTGTTCAGGTGTTTTGAGATACTGAAGCTTGGCCCAGTGGGAGATTCCTCCATCCACACAGTTGAGTGTAGATAGAGGAATCCATTGCACTTTTTCCATCTGACCATAGCAAATCTGCAGATAATCTATAGGTGTATGGCCAGTTTTAAAAGTATTTTAGCAGTTTAATAACTGTCTTGCCATAGCATACAGAAACACAGATTTGCGTACAGCAGCAGGATCAGAAGCAGATGCTGCCAAGATAAAATATTCTGATAATTCAAGAGCTGCTTTTTACCTATAAATAATCTACTCTGCCAATTCTGAATTATTTTATTATTCAGTGTTGTACAGATATTTCCTGATAGGAGTCATCATATTAATTTTCCTTTCTTTTAGTTCTCAGGATGTGGTGTAGACTTAGATACCACACAGAGGAGCTTAATTGCTTTTCAAAATGTGTGTTGATTTCGGCGGTTTTAGTGCAATGCATTTTTTATTAACTGATCTTCCTTTCAACCCTGGGCACAATATGAATCAAATAACTTTGCTGATTTTCTTATATTCTTTAGAATACAATTATCACTATATTTAAAATTTGAGTCATTTAGGAAATGGTTTTAATATGTACTTTGCCAGCATTCACAGACTTATAGATATTATACTAATATGATATGGAGAGTATTATAACTCATTTGTACCACCTATATGTAAGGTAGTGTTCTTGAATGTAACATGCAGTATGCAGAGGGGATGGTACAATAAGTCAGGCAGATGTCATAAATATCTCTATAGGTCACACAGTTAAGGTACTACAGATAACTTTTATTGAATCTATTAGGGCGGGGGGATGCAGGGTTGGGGGTTGAATTGGGCGGATGCTGGTGGTCACGTTCCTTAGGGGTTGGCTTGATGGGGTCCTGGTGGCGCACTTCCCAGTTCTTGCCAGTTTCCCTCCCAGCTCACTGACATCACTGGTTGCTAGGAGCAGGTCTGAATGCTGGATAGAGTGTCCCATTCGGTTCCTGGCAACCATTGACATTGGTTGCCAGGAGCTGGGCGGGGCGCTGCCAGCATGTCCCAGGTTGCTAAGAGCTGGGAGGGGAGATGTGTCTTGCCCTTACACATCTCCCTGCCCAGTTCTTAGCACCCTGAAATGCTCTGAGAGCTTGTCCTTCCCCCATGTGACCCACAGAGATGCTGCCTGGGGCAACAGCTTTTGGAAACGCAACAGCATATACTAATTGTATTACTGACTTTGTCTTTTGAGCTACAGATGGAGCTGTAGTGTAATGTTAGTCTCTATATGCATGCTTAACTATGGTATATACAGGAAGCGTTCTTATCTATATGTTTTATTTAGAATGCTGTACACATAGATGTAATATTCTTCTAAGCAAGTAAAACCTAATTTAGCATTCCTCAAGATCTCAGTGCTTCATCTAAACACATAACCAACAACAGCCTCAGGCTGCCTCATAATTAGGAAAACCCTGTATGTGGTAATATCTGTCTTTAAAGCTGTTACCTTTGCCAGGATTAGAAAAATAAGAGGGGTATAAATGGTTTATGTATCCTTCTTCATTCTACCCCCACACTATACGGGGTTAAGTGCTCATTTTTGTTTAGGGTCTAAAATAACAAAGAAATACTCACCTGAAACTTAGACCAGCCTGGCTGCTAGATCCCTGCAGACTCACTTCCCCATGGTCACACGCAATTATCATGTTCAATACAGTGTATTGGATGTGAGGATGCCAGGGGACATTCCATCGCCAAAGCAGATTTGAAGAGAGGCTGCAGGGATCAGTCAAGCAACCAAGTGCGACTGAGGTTCTGGTGCGTATGTTCTTGTTATTTTAGACCCTAGATGAAAACGAGCACTTGCAGTGCGGGGGTAGCCCAGAGTTCTTGTAGCATGCAAAAAACCCAACTAGAACGCTTTTTCTCCACGTGGTCCTCCTTCCTGACTGCGACCCTCCCTCCCAACTCCAGGATATCATGAGGTGCTTTCAAACCTCCAAATGGTACCTTACGGCCAAAATCTCAAATTCCCTAGGGGGACTGGATGTACTGTAGACCCACCGAAGTGAGAACTACCCTACCTCCAATTTCGGAGGACCATCCTTATGGCTACTCCCCAATGTCGCACCCACTGCTTTCCCTATGTCATCCCTGAAATAAGACCCCTTGACGACCAACCTATCTCGCATATTCCAGGTAGATTTCCAAATAATGATATAGTCGCTATACGACCTTGTGAGGCTATTAGCAGCATAGTTTATGTTATCCGCTCATTCTCCATGGTATACCAAGCGTAGTTTTCTTCCCCCTCTTTTCCTTTTCCTTTTCTGTTATGGATGTTCAATATTAATCATTGAGGGCTATGTTTTAGCTTAGTAGTTTGAACTGCTATTATGAATCCACACTATCAATGGAGCGTAATGTCCTGTACGATGCCTGCTTCTGTCCTTATGATTGTGTGAGGCGCATATACCTCTGCTGTCATTACACTGCTCCTCATGTAATTTTTGTTCATCTTGTGTTACATCCTTTAAATGACCAATAAAAATGCATGCTTAAAAAAAACAAAAAAAACCCAACCATTTGGTCTAAACATAATGTCTCATTAAAAGTTAAAGAATTTAGGTCCAATTGACAGGGTGTTCACAGTGAACTACTCATGCGTGCACTTGGGGGTGCGCACTAACAGAGGGAAAAATCACCCTACAAGTATTGTAACCCACACTGAAGAGCAAGCCATCCATTTATACACATCCGATGGACGGCAAGTGGTTACATCTGTGCACTGGCTTAACACTCTTTAAAAAGCACATACAAGTATAACACAGTAAAACCTTGTTAAATCAAAAGGTATTTACATGTCTCATTTAATTACATATCCCCAAAAAAAGGATTCATCAATGCAGCATTGGGGGGTCCCCGGAATCAAATCCTGGTCAGGACATTATCTGTAAAGAGTTTGCATGTTCTCTATGTGCTTGTGTGGGTTTCCTCCCACACTCCAAAGACATGCAGGTAGGTTGATTGTCTCATGTCCAAATTGATTCTGTATGCATGTGAGATAGGGGCATTAGATTATACGCTCCTTGAGGACAGGGACTGATCTGAATGTGCAAACACCTGTAACAAAAATAAATAAATAAATAAATAAATGTGCATCCACAACCGCTGGTGTATAGTGGAAATGTAGCCGAATGTTTTAGGACCTTTTATTCCAAATTGTATATAGAGCTGTTTTAGAACTGTTTTTTTGCCAATCATCAGTGCAATGCGTGGCTTCTAAGGACTAGGGCTTGGGACCCAATGAGACAATATAACCCAGCAGGTTATAGTGTGAAGGAATTAAATTAATCAAAAAGCCCTCAAGCTGAATCAGTGTGTAGCACAGGAAAGCTTTCCTAAAATGTACTTCTCTG